CATCATGGCAGGAGAGGACCACTTGGCTTTCAGCCACCACGTTAGCCACGCTCCAGTCAGGTCTCTTCAGGCGTCCTGGCCACCTGCAGCCCAAGGCGCCTCTGCTCCGCAGACGCACTCAGCAGCAGCTCTCCGGATGCGTGTGGCCCACCGACAGCTGAACTGAGATGGCTGTGTGTGAAGGCTCCGGCACAGACCTTCGTAAAGGCTCCTCTAGCAATTAGTGAGCAAAGGACTTGCCTCAGCACTAACGCATCCCTCCCACCCTCCAGGCTCACTTCTGTTACAGCATTTCACCAAGGAGCAGCCCTATGCCGGCACGCTAACAGCCCGGCCAAAGGACTCGGCCTTGAAAGCACTCGCCCCGCCGACCTCCCCATTGTCCCAGGCGAGCAGTGGGACAAAGCTCCCGCAGCGAAGAGCTGAGCAGCATTTGTGTCTTGTCAAAAGCAATTCTCCTCTAAGCAACGCCAAATCAGTGAGCGAACGGGAACTGCACGCGAGAGGCAGCCCACGTGGCTTCAGCGGCAGGAGAGGGAGCTCGGCCACATTCACCACGAGGTTTGTCAGGGCTCTTTGGGGACAACAGGCGCTGGTGACGGGCAGCTGGGAGCAGGTCTCAGCCCAGCACTACAAGGGAAACCACCTCCAGAAATACGTCACCTCCCACACCAACTTCCTAACTTGTTCCTCCATCCCCGACACATCCAAGCACTGTTCAGCCCCCCTCAGCAGCCTGGGCTGATCTGCAGGACCAACCCGAATCACAACCCTTTGTCAGCAGCTTTCAAGCTTAAATTTAAGGCAGCCAGACATGGGTCCGAGTCACAAGTGCAACACAGCAACGCTAATTTAATAAAAAGCAGGTAAGTGATTTCTAAGCGCTCCCTCTCAAGGTGTGTATTAGGCTATTTTGCTTGCCTCACACTCAGTTTAATAAATCCTCAGATCGACCGCCCTAGACAAGATGTCTACAGTCCTACCCCCTCCTCTCAGATGGGAGCTAATTCAGCAGAGCTGAAGGCAATCACGTATCACCAACACGTACTAATCTGAGTGATTTTCTAGATGCTTGAAAACCAGGCAGCATCTATATTACCTTTAGATACCGCCAAATTTCAAACCAGTTCTCATGAAAGCCAGCTCCAGTTCAGATGGTCACTGCAGCAATGCCTTTGAAAAAAGGTTTCATTTGCCTTTGCGCATCTTGCCTAGTCACCATGCCACGCATCAGGAACCAGCTAAAGCACAAGAAGAGGGGCCATTTCCAAGGCCAGGCCACATCCTGACACAGGGAAGCCAACTCAGTATGTTTGCTCCTGCAGATCAGGCTTCCCCAAGTAGCACGGTACCTCTGCAGCATCTTTCCTAGGGTGTGAGCACCTCAACACCCTCTTGTCTTTGCTGTTCCCCCAGCATAGCCTTATGTTACCTCTCTAAAAGCAGGAGCATGATGCTGTCCCAGCAGAACAGTCTTTTGTCCCCTTGAAAGCACAAGCCTGGGCAGACTCCATGCCGGAGGAGCAGCAAGGTAAGTAAGAGGGAAGTGCCACCGCAATTCAACCTGCAGAAGGCACTGGGGATAGGAGCGAGGTAATGGATCTGGAATTGATTCAGTAAATGAGTGACCTGACTTCAAATTAAGAATGGAATAGGAATAGAAAGGATATAACTAACTAAAGAATGTGATGCAAAAGGTTGAAGCAGGTATCATATCTACTATGAGCAGACCAAGGCTTTAAATCAAAGCTGATCTCTCGCTCTGTTTTAGGGGATGGAAGAAAAACCTTGAAAAGTATGCAAAAGAAGAATTAACCACATATTTGCGTGGATTGGGGTGTAGAGGGATTTCAGAAGTTACAAATTGAAGAAATAAAAAAACCCCTTGACCTAGAACTGATGACTCAGCAACAATTCTACACAGAAACTCCCGAGACTGGAATGATTTGATACAATGAACAACACAAAGTCAACAATAATAACTTGTACCATTAAGCTATGCTAGCGAAGCTACGGCAGTACAGCCACCCCACAACTACACATCACTGCCCTTTCAACTGTTAGAGCTGGTCTTCTGTACCAGGTGAACAACCTCACCTGGGACCAAGCCCCACACGAGCAGAGCTTCATCTTCTGCATAGGACACTGAGGAACAACATGCACCACAACCACAACGTTTACACCTGACCACTGTGCAAGCCCACCCAGGCTCTCCTTCTGAAAGCAGTACTGCTCATGATAGGTATGACGAGGCATTACGAGATGGGACAGGACCTTCTGCTGTGCCTCCATACACTACCAGGCATTTTAAAGTCCTGCAGATGTTCTCAATGACAGATACCGTACCAGTTCTGAACAGACACATACTTGTTCCTGCACCAGCATCAGAATTTCTTCCCATCTTTTTCAGGCTGGTCTACAGCAATGGCCATGAAATTCAGGTTTTCAAATCCCCTCTGCAGAAACCTGGCATTAAATGACTTCTGTGGAATTAAGCTTACTGTATCCCACAGAATCACAGAATCACAGAACAGTAGGGGTTGGAAGGGACCTCTGTGGGTCATCTAGTCCAACCCCCCTGCCGAAGCAGGGGCACCT